AAGAATGATGTTTTTATGTACACATATGCCATTATTCTTCTTTTGCTCTAATAGTGCCATTTATGGCCATATTTTAATCCTTCCAGTTAAGATGGGATCAGAATTTGACCCTTAACCATCTGGAAGCCATGAAGCAAAGTCAGAAGTTGCCCATGAGATCAAGAGGGTAGACAGGTATACCCTTCTGTCTATGTGATAGGAAGGTACCAGACCCACATACGATGTGTATATGATGAAAATATTCTTTATTGGCCTCAAGTTGTGCCAGGGCAGGTTTAGGTTGAATATTAAGGAAAAACTTCGCTGACAGGGTAGTCAGGCACTGGAACAGGCTGCCCAGGGAAGTGGTTGAGTCTCCATCCCTGGAGGTATTTAAAAGACGGGTAGATGTGGTGCTTAGGGATATGGTTTCGTGGTGGACTTGGCAGCGTTAGGTTAACGGTTGGACCTGATGATCTTAAAGGTCTTTTCCAACCTAAACGATTCTATGATTCTATGACTTTTTTAAGGAGGGATATTAATGGCACGTATGTATCAGGTGGAAAAGTGAATCCTATTCATCTGTTAAACATTTATGCTCAAGGATTCAAGGAGCTGTGTCAGAGGGACAACATTTTCTTCAAGGTGTATTACCTGTCCTGATCTTCCCTTGATCACCCCATGCAAGGGCTTGGTAGGAGTAAAAAGCTTTTAACATCTAGGGTGCTATTTGACAGATATATATCTGTATGCTTACAGTGTGAAACAAGTATTAGGAATTAATTATGGGGAGGGAATAAATGTTGGGTCAATCATGTCCCTCTTTCATTTGCTTCCAGGAAAAGTCTTGCTGTTTTTTTGTGTTTGTTTACCAGTATTCTGGCTTTTGGTTCAGCACAGTTCATGGAATAGACTTCACTAACGTACTGTTGTTGCAGAGGACACTTTTCCTGTAAAATGGCCTTTCCTTGTGACTCATTGAAGCATTCATGCTAACGCCTGAGACAGACAGTCTCTTAAGGATATCCCCTTTAAAAAGCAGCAGCTGCAATAGGAAATGGTTTAATGTGTTTCCAGCTTTGTGTTGACTTACTGTATTCACAAGACTAGTCCTCTTTAGTTACAGTTAGTACAGAGGGCAAAGGGGGCTTCTTTCCATCTTGGGAAGGAGCTTCAAATGTTCATTGTGTTGCTACCACATGGAGGTGGCAAAGTGTTCATCCCTGATACTTTTGTGCAGTAGTGACCCCGAGGATTGCATTGTTATGATGAGGGACAACCAGCCTAGGGAAGCTTAGGACATGATAAACCTGTGCCACAATAGTTATGAGTCTTAGAAGACTGTAAGAATTAATTTGGAATGTATCACATCTGAAATAACGAGATACCAAATTCATGGAGTCACTCTCCTGGGTTTTCTGTCATTCCTGGCAGCTAAATTATACCACACAACCCCCCCCCCCGTCCTGAAATATTTTACTATTTTGGTTTTGGCAGAGGCGTGTCTAGGGAAAAGCTACTGAAACTTGTGAAAAGGACGTTTTTTAGGCTGGGACAGTTCTTTCCATAAATTGTTTACTCTATCTGTACTGCAAAGAATATCTGCCGCTTCCATTCTGTGGCTCTTGTCCCATGCTGAATTAGTACCACGGAAAGCAGATCAGCCCAGAAGTGAAGCCATAACTCTAAACCCCGTTAGCTAGGCTTGCTGCTGAAGCAAGCAGTGCCAGCTTGCTCCTCTTCTCAGGTCACCTTTCTGTTGTGTTGGCACAAGCATCAGCTTGACTACATGGTGCCATGGATCAGATGGATTAGGATGACCTGAACAATAGTAAAGACAACTTCTTTATCAGATTAGTTCTGGCCTTGATCATTGTCCTGCTCTAGTTCACTTTCCTGCACTAGTGTGAGGAGAGGACAGTGCGAACGGGCTGCTTCAGTACGCGAGCCAGGGAAAGTGCGTGTGGGACCACACCACCGTGGAAGGAAATGCTGGCTGAATATGGACCCAGGGAAATGCAAACCCTAGGTCTAGGAATAAAACCTGGAAAGCTGCCCTTGGCCTAGTGCTCTATTTTTTCACTTCAAAATAAAATTAATGGTGTCAATGTCCTTCAATGTCCTTCATAAAGTGATTTGAGATATTATGCTTTTTCTAAGCAGGGGGGAACAAGGGTGAAGTAATTCCTGTTCTGCCCTTGCATGGAAATCTCCTTGAGTGTCTGAGGCAAATAGTGGGAAACATTTTTAACTGGAGAAGGACAAGAATGCTGTACCAAAAACATGGCTTCAAGAGGCAGTGGAATAAACACAACAGAGTATGAACTGAAAAAAAATTAGAGTTTTTCTAGTATTTGTGATGCCAGATCCCGCTGGTTCTCTTGCAGGTCTGTAACCCTCCTGAAAGTAGAGATCTGAAACTCTTATTTACCAAATAAAACCAAAACCCAATACCTTCTTCAAAAAGCTCTCCCACCTTCAAAAAAAAAAAACAGGGAGGAGGATGAGCTCAATCCTCCCACTGTTTTTCCTTGAACATGGCCTCCTTTACCTATCACAGCAAAGAACAAGTAATCCTTTTCTGCTGAGGTGGCATTTAAAACTTAAAGAGGAGACAGAATATTTAGAAACCCGCTATGGTGTGTGAGAAGCCCAAAGCAGCCTCCTACATGAAGCAGGACATTAATATGGGGATTCTTACATGTATTTGTCCTCCTGACAGTGTGGAATAGTTGAAATTGCACGTTCCAGATCAGCACACCTCCTCTTGTCTGCCCCCAAATTAACCTGTTTTATAAAATTCCATGAGAGCTTCCATTATTCCATGAGAGCTTCCATTAAAGAGGGTCCACCAGTGAGGCTGAGATATATTTCAAGTTTAGGATTTTGATACCGATTTTTAAACATCCTTTTGCATTTCCCATACTAAGTCCCTATAAGGCACTTCTTTACCCTCTTGGCTGCCAATAGAATAAAATAATCTGCCAGAGCAGATTGTCTTCAGAGCATCTACAGAGCAGTGTTTGCCCACTGTGCTCTCCTAGCATAGTTCCCTACTTGTGGGAACTGCAGAAGGCGGCGTTGTGCTTGCGTGCCACTTCATTGACATGCTACCCAAGGATCTCTGTTTAAGGAGCAGTCCGCTTAAGCTGTAATGGCTTGATAAAACCATGGTGTCTAGATGTCATCGGGACATTGTGGCTCCAGGTGCATGTTCGAGCAGGTTTGGGAGTGTGGCTCAATGGAGGAGGGTGAGAAGAATCTCTGGAGTTTGATGAGGAAGGACAAGCCTGGTCAAACCGAGAGGCGAGTAACAAAACAAAAAGCGTCTTGCTTTTTGAGACCAAATTAGGTTTTTGTAACCCAGGCCTAGGGGATGGTTTATAAAAGATTGTTTTCACCTGTAAACCTAGCAATGCCTGGACAATCAGTACGGACCAAACCGAGGGCCGGTTACTTTGAAATAAATGTAGAGTCGCTGTCTGTGGGTTATGCTCCAAACACAGTAGTGTTGAAATATGTGATGGGATCTCTAAATCCAGGAGACAACTGTTAAGTCTTGAGGGTAAGAATAATGACCTACTGCTAAGATGCAAGATGAACACAGGTTTTCCGAAGCCCGTTTTGTGTGTACTTGTGATTCAAATGGCACAGATCTACTCACGCTGAAATACGAACATAATTTAATTACTATCTGGGAAGGCTTTGAAGAGCTGTCTATTGACACATCTCCAATACACCAACTCCGGTTGCAGCTCTCTCTTATTTGTGATTACATAAAGAATGCCTTGCAACCGTGTTGTTCTGCCCTGTTGGGCTAATCTGAGTTGAAACATCTTGTTCATATAATGTGCTTCAGTGCTCTTTTATGAACTCCTGTGTACTGAGGCAAAGTTGTTGGAAGCCAGTCTTCTGTTTCCTCGTCTGCTGGGGATTGGGAGGGGGGATTGAGGCCGGTTTGTTTTGTTTTCCAGAAATGATCAGTCCTGCTTAGCAAATATGGAATTCTGGATGAGAAAACAAAGACTGACTTCTAATAGAGGGCTGGTTATTGAGGTGAAATAGTATCCCAGGCTGGGCAATGTAAAGAGAAACCCACCTGTTTGTATGAGATGCCATTTAAGTGCGAGAAGGTGGGGGTATAATCGGAGCCACTTTTGCAGGGGTGATTACATATAACAAAAGAAGGAACAGTGTTCCTGCCCCAAAGCTGCATTATATAGTCTGGTGTCCCCCTGAAACTCAACTCCCATGTTTCTTCCTTGACAATGGGACCTGAAATAACCTCTTGGTTTTGGTTTTTTGTGTGTTTTCAAGTATGTTCTTGCTTAAGGTTTAATTGGCTCCAGTCAGTAGGAAAGGGCTCCAAGGCTGATTATTTATGGCTTACTGTCAAAAGTGGCTATAAAAAGGGCAGTATTATCTTGGAGATGCTGGGAAGGAAAATGTGGTGGGGGGAGGGTGGGGGAGTGTGTGTGTGCACGAATGTGTTTTCTTGTACTAGATGAAATCAGAGTTTTGCTGTCTCAGCAGTGTGGTTTAAATTGAAGATTAACCCTTTGACCTTCACGGTGTCAAATCACTTACAGATGGATCACCAGTTATATTTTTTTCTTTTTTTTCACTTTTGGGGTGAAGGGGGGCTTTTTTTTTAAAAAAAAAAAAAAGGTTGTTTGTTCATGCAGCTGGGGCTTTTGAAAGGCTCAGAAGCCAATCTGATTAAAAACAGCACTTGGCTAAACTCTGCAAAATCCTACAAGCAAAAAAAAAGTTTAATCCTCTTGTGCACAATGCATAAAGGGTCTGCTCTTTTCTTTTTGTAATGTTAGAGCTACAATTATTTCTGGAGAACTTATCATTTCCCTCTCTCCCCTCATCCCTTGCTGCACCCCCTTGTTATGCTGATGGGATTAAAGTGTCTGCTCTTGAAAAGTGTAACTGAGTTGTTACTGGAAAAGAGAAGTGGTATGTTGCAATTTTAGAAATATAAATAACCTTGCTTCAACTGTTCTCCTCTACAGCATCAGCAGAACAGAAATCAAGTGTGGTGGCAGCTTTTTCTCTTCCTACACAACTTGGCCTTAAACGCGGAGGCGAACAGGAACCACACTGGGCAGAGGTGAGCTTCACCCGCCTGTTTCAGGCCGCATCCAGTCTGCAGGGAGCACTGAACAAACACTGGTTCGGGGGCGAGACATTGCACACCGCCGGCCGGATGTGAGGACTCTGAATTTCTGATACTCGTCTTCAAGTTTGGGGTTTTTTACGGACTCTTCTTTGCTGCTGCCTGCCTCACGAGGCAGGGAGCTCTTGTCCAACACTGTCGAAGGAAAGCCAGAATGTGGGTGTGTTTGGTAAAGCTTGCTGCTGGTTCCCCGCGCCGGTGACCTCTGTGCAAGGGAGGCAGGTATTAGACTAACAGCTTCCTCTGCCCTGTGCGTTAGTCAATGGTAGAGTGCAGGAGTGTCATTTTGGCTGCTAGTTAAAAATGTTGTCTGGGATTGATGACTCTAAACATACTTTGGGTATCTTCCAGAGCAGAGATGCTCAATTCCTCCACAAAGAAAGTTCTTTTTAACAATGAAAACATTAAAGTAGCTTATATCCATCAGGTTACTTGTTTTCTGCATGGGTTGCTGTTTATTTCCTTGCACCCTGTGTGAGAGAAAATCACAAAGAAATCTGATTTCTTCAAGCTTTCCATTGGGCACCAAGTTGTTCTTTGTCATTGCCATCAATAGACAAAATCATTTCAGTAAAACGGTCTTAAAATTAAACCTTCCTGGGGTTGCTGGTGGCTATTAGTTTCTGCCACTGTTTGCTTCCAGTTCAGTGTTCGCAGTGCCTGTGAGCCAGCACGAAGCCAAAAACGACGGAACATGACACACGCGTCATTCTTCTACAATGCTAATGTATATGTTTTTATTAGTTTTATGATGGGTGTTTATTTTGTTTTGGTTTTCTTTTCTCTTACTATAATGTGGTTGGTCAGGAAGGCTTAGGTCCCAGGCATCCGATAGTTTTGCTTCAGGATTTGACAGGGAAATTAATTAGCAACTAGTCTGACATGTACACTGTACAAGCAGTCTGTCCATTACTCTAGTATGTAATGTTTGGAGGCTGCTGTAAGCCTATATTGACTCACAGCAGTAATATTACTTCAAGGGAGATCTTCTAACAGTTCCCGGTTTGTATGCACTCGGAAGTTTGTCCATATGACTGACACTATTGGACCAGCATAGGGAAATTACCCTACCAAAAGGAAGTAGCCTTAAATATCAATGGCTACTTCTCTGTAGCCTTAAATATCGTTAGTTCGCAAACCCGGTGACAACTAGGGTAAAAGATGAACAGAAAAGCAATACAGAATTTATTTTCTTCAGACTGTTTCCGTATTGCCACTGCACTTTGTTGTAGGTCTCAAATGATACAACCAACATGAGGAAGAGCTGTCCAGAGAATTGCTCTTCAGTTCTGTTACAAACATCGATTTCAGATGTTGAGGAATTCTTCTGCTCTTGGTCCACTCTGAAAAATAAGCATTACTGTATGGGAAGAGTACTTTACTTGCACATATGCTTTCTCCTCCACCCCTCTCTGCATATCCTTCTCTAATTCATGCTTTCTCTGGTATTTTTATAATGTCATCATTGCACTGTAGTGTCTGGTAACAATTTGCTGAACACAGTTAAATTTGGACTTCTTCCCTGTCTCCTAGCCCCATTCTCTTGATTTGCATCCTGCTCTACTGTGGCAAAATGTTCTTTAGCTCCCTGAAAGAGGTCCCCAAGCCTTTTTCACTTTCATATATTCACAGTCACTCTCTCTCAACATAAGGAGGGTTTATGTGAGAAAAGCTTTTTTTTCTCCTCTTATGTTATTTTTCTAGCTAGAGCTAGAGTAATATGTTTGTCCATGATGGTTAATAATTCATATAAATGAATCTCAAGCAATATTTTGGGGGGCGGGTTTTATGGAGAGGGAGGGCGGGAGGTTTTTTTAGGAGGGGAGATTGTTTTTGGTTTTGTGTTGTTTCTTTAAGCATGTGCACTACAGAGTTACCCAGAGGGATGCAAGTGATAGCTGTTGCTGACTATGCTGCAGCAGTATGGGAAGCCACTCTCTGCCCATGTTCACAGAGATGAGGCTTTCCATACCTTGCTTTGCACGGTCTGCTCGGACATTGGAGAACGAGGACTTACATGGCAGGGAAAGCCTGAGGGGTAGTGCAAGCACAGACTGAACTGGGGACCCCTGAGATGCTGGATGTGAAGGAGAAGAACCTTAAATCAGAAGCTCTTAAAGAGGCAGGAGTGGAAGTGCTGAGGCTCAGGAAGCAATGCAGCAATGCTGCCTGCCCTCACGGCATGCTCTAGGATCTGCCGCTTGCCTGTTCCCACTGGTTGCCAGCATCCCTTTATCAGCAACAGTCAAAGCTACATCATAACAACCCTGCAAACTACAAAACATTCAGCAAGTGCATCTGACGCTTAAAAACCATCGTGAGCTTTCCGCTTCCCCTCTGCCTTGACTTGACTGCCAAACAGGCCAATAAGGCCTGTTCTCTGGACACGTAAGCTGGAAAGATAGGTCTGGTACTGGCCCTTTCTGGTGCTGCAACCCAACCTGTTTATCTAGGGTAAGACTCCTCTTAACATGGAGAAACAAGTATCTGAAACCGTTCCTCAGTCAGGCTGCCTGCCTCAATAGAGTAATTTGGCTCAGGGAAAGACACATCTTTGCCAGTCCATATTTCCCGCTGCAACAACAGACTTATCAAAATTGGTCATGCCAGGGTCTCAAGTTAAAATCTCCTTGAACAACAATACTTCATTGGAGACATAGAGCTAATGCTAGACAAAGGCTGACTTCCTGCAGTATGCGTGTTGGTCACTGGTGCCAGAGATTTACAACCACTGATAATATATTTTAATTATATTCTATATCTGCATATCTTGGAGAAAGGAAATATGCTCTGTCAACTGAAAAGTCTTATTTTGTTTTGTGTAGATTTGGAGGGGCAGGCTGGTTATTCACTTAGGGAAAAGCGCCTACTTCATACTTACAGTCTCACCTACTTGAGGAAATAGTGGGAAGATTTCACACGTTTATCAACAAATACACAGATGCACAGCACCCATGTATATCTCACCCATTCCATGTTAGTGAGGCCCCTCGAGCACGCACTGAGGAGGTCTTCCCCGCAGAGTAGTTATTGCAGTGTGGCCACAGACATCCGTTGATTGTTGGGGGAAACAGTTCCAAGGAACGTGGTTTAAGTCCTGTTGGTGAAGGAGTATGCTCGGGTTTATAGATATTAGTTTGTGCTGGTGAAAGGAATGGGGCACTGTTTCTCTCTGTGTTGTAAAACTACAGTCTAACAAGTGGGATCTTTCTCCTACAACAAATTCCTATTTTTAATGAGCAGTTCTTAAGAAGAGCTTGAGCTGCTGCTGATGGTACCAGCAGCCTTGAAGTGTCTTGCTTGCCTTCCCCAGATCTCCAAAACGGCTTCAGACCTCAGCTCTTTCCTTGAGGGACGGAGTTCTTCCTGTCCCTTTCCAACTTGCCACCCTTTCGAGTGTCTTGTAACCTGCTCATCCCTGGATCCAGCAAGCCTGGTGCTAGTAGGGAATAGTTTGACTTTTGTTTCCTGCAATTCTTGAAAGCTGAGCCAGTAATCACAAAGTGACTGCCCAGGGATAGCTGCAAACTGCCATAAATAGGATACAACAAAGGCAGGGGAGAGGATGAATTTGCATGGAAAGGGTTGCCCTTGGATCTGTGTGGGTGACTGCAGCCTTCTCCCAAGGTGCTGATAATCCCTGGTAGCACTGAATTCCTGCATAACTGATCACATATCTCAGTTTAAATAGCTGGTTGTTATTAAATTTTTGTTGGCTAAACTCTTGTTAGAGGAGTCCTGAAAGAAACTTCCTTATCAGCCTTTGCTTTGGAGCTGTGTATCAACAAGGGAATAGAGGCAAGGAACCCAGTCCCTCTTGATGTAGAAGGGGTGATTGCAAAGACATCTTTCTTTCTACTGGCCATTTACTTTGTCCCCTCAAGCCTGGATTAAAGGTATAGGTGATGTGTGCATGTGAGGTTACTACAGTCCTGGAGTTGCTCCGTAGCAGTCACTGGAGCTGTACCCAAGGTTGAACTTCATTCAGTGTGGGGCTTGGCACTCTTCTGGGAAACTGCAGATTCTGCCCACTAGTAGACTAGGGAGAAGGGTGGTTTTTTTAAGAAAAAGCAAAAGTACTTGAGGCAGTTGTTGCAATGTCACCCTGTCAACTCTACAATGAATTCCACCCTTCCACTGCTGGTCCTGACCCATATCTCTGCTGAAGCTGTGGGAATGGTGAGACTGTGACATGCTGAATGGTGTGCTAATGAGAGTATTTTTAAAGGGAAAAATAGGGAGAGCAGTCAGCATATGTGCTAGGATCAAACGAGAATGCAGATATGTGGAGGTCTTGCCTTGTTTTACCAGCAATATTTACTGCAGAATTAGAAGTAAAAGGACCATGGAATGCCCGTTCAGATTCATGGGAGCTCTGCACATGGACCAAGCACTATCGAGTATTAGCATAATTTGACAACAAAGGTTTTTAATAATGTCCTTCAAAAGAGTCTGTCTTTCAAACTGGCATTTGTGATCATTTGCAAAAATGCCTACCTGTTGCCTTTGATTGTTTTAGCAAGAAGAAATACCTCAAGGAATTGATAAAAGATCCTAGGACAATCTTTTACAGTTCCTAAAGACTTCAGTGGTCTCTGTTTCTTTGGTTTGCATGTGTTCACGCAGGTGTTACACAGCTCAGTTCTTCTCCACCAGGAAAAGCAGAAAAGACCAAACACATCAAATGCACTGGAATGTAATTGTGTGTGTGTGCGTGCGCGTGCGTGTGCGTGTGTGTTCTTAAACTGAATGCAGTCTGACATCCCCTACCCCTTCTTTCTTCCACGTGCCTCACCTTCCCCCTTAGCCACAGAAAGGAGGGTCTCTTCCTGCGAATCCCATGCTGGAAGTTGGTTTCTGGGAAGCGAAACCTAATGTCTGTGGGCTGTTTTTTAAAGCCATGTTTCAGTTCTGTCTTCAGATTCTTTGCTGCCTTTGGGGAACGGAGGGGTGGGAAGGGTAGATTCTTAAACTGTTTTTAAAATCTATTATGGAAATTTTGCATGTATAAAGTTATTCTTAAATCTAAAGGAGTCTCCCCAATTTGTGGACACAGCTCCAGGAGAGCATCATCACAGATTCCTCAGCTCTGGTTTTGATCAGACTATTCTGAAAGGAACATTTCATGACAAAATGGGGAGAGACTGGTGTGATGGCAAGGTGACATTGTCAGTATCTCCTTAAATAAATGTCAGAAGTTAGGCTTGTAAAAGGGAAATTTCAAAACAGCCCAAGGGATTTGTATGTCTGTTTCCACTGGGTACATTTGAAAATCCTGCCACTAAATTTGAGTTTGGGTATCTAGACTGTTGGGGTTTTTTTGGTAAACTAATCATGTATCTCCTCTTCTGTTCTCTTCAATGGTATGTAGTACAGTCTCCCATGTTCCTAGGTAAAACTCACTGATGAGAGTACTGTGAAATGTGGATTCACATTTTGTCCCTCCCCTT